ACTACTAATAAAAGATACTCATTTTCTAAACAAACAAACAAACCCCACAACCAAAAAAAAACCCAAAACCCACACCTAAAAGAACACACAAACTCACGTGAGCTCGCTTTGCTCTTTTGATGTGTGGCCAGATGTAGCCTTGCTCATCTAGCTGGTAGTTAACTTAAGTGGTTAGAGCATGCTCAGGAAGCAGGAGAAATAAATCCAGGTCTAGGACTCCTGTCGCCCAGCAGATTCCTCTACATTCCAGAATCTTGGTTTAAGAGGCCTAGATTCAATAGGACCAACAGCAACTCTCCCCCTTGCCCCCAAGAAATTCAACAAAGACAGGGTAATAAACATGCCTGTTATCTCAACTACTTTACATGTAGCTATGTGTGCCACAAAGAACAATCGGTAGACTAGAAATTAAGTTTTAACATTCCAGTCCTGTGACAAGAAATATTAACTGGAATAAAGAAGTTAAAATCAATACAGAAAGGCTACAAAAAAGAGGTCTAATGCAACAAAAATACAATTTCAAAGGTACTTTCAAATAAGAGAGAAAATCAAATACACTAGTGCAAGAGAAGGACTACTACATTAGCATCCATTAAAATCTAATTCTAAGAGAAATCTAAGAAAAAACAAGATTCTTGCAAACATTTGAGCTCTATCTGCAGATAGGATTAACATTGGAACTAAAACCAGAAAGTTAAGACATGGTGTGAAGTTGCTGAAAAAGATGAGGAGAATCCCATTTTGATCCACAGAAAAAAAAAAAAAAAAAAAAAAAAAAAAAAAAAAAGGAATTTCTTTTAAAATGACAAGTTACAAGAAAAAGGTCAGCAAATTTTAGAATCTGCTTTCTTTAAAAAAAGCAGGTAGTTGCTTTGAACAACCTCAGTAGTTTCTTTTCAGAACAGATAAAATATAATCTTGAAAAATAACCCGTAGCAGACTGATGGACAGAAGAAAGAGGGTGAGGGGTATCAGGAGACCAGCCAGGACTGTTATGGAGTTTATATTATTGCTATATATGATCCAGGATTGCTTGGTTGGTTTTTTTTTAAGGCTTTTTTTTTCTCCCCATGCATTCTTTTCAATCAGTCATTTGTTAAGGTAAGTGTGAATTATTTGTACGCCTAACCTTGTGCTGTGTACCTCTCCCACACATACCAGGATGGTGTATGATCAGTCCTCGTCAACCACAAAAGGAAAGACAATGTTGTGTTTGTACAATGTATCCCATATATTTCACAGGGACCTGTGTCCTGATCTTGTCTATAACCTATGGACTTTGGCATCTCTCCTGAGAAAGAAGATTGTGGTTTGAACCCTTTCAGATGATCTCTAACTTCCTGAATTACCTAAATCATCAAGTTATTCTGCAAAACAGACTTCTTTTATTGTATTTATGAATGGCTAGTATTACGCTTTGCACAGAACTCTGTGCCTATGATAGACATGCTGGGAATTCAAACCAAAGAATAAATACAATATTAAGTCCCAATGCTCAGATGAAAACATTTCAGCACATACTTTGATTCCTAAGTTTAGATGCTGCAGGATGATTGTGGTCTACATGGTGCATACTTGAGACTGCTTTCCTGGCCTTGTTTAGAGCTTTAATTGAAACATGCAGGTCTGCAGGTTTGCTTGCTCCTGGGAAGTGTTCCTGGACCTTTTGTGGAGTCCGGCTATAACATAACAAGAGAACCTTCTCCTTCAAAGTGCCTAGACAGTACAGAATAGTGTATTTCCCATTGCAAAAGTGCTTAGTCTTAGGTCAAGAAACCCCAAAGATGCAGCCAGACAAACTAGCAAAAGGGATGCCGTTTCTAGTTGGATACCACACAGTATGAAGTTTACGAAATAAAATGTGTGAATCCAGAAGTTCAAGGTTCACCTTGGTATTTGTGACAAAAGTACCTAACCAACACTTCATTAAAGCACAGATCTTGTTTGTTGGATATCTCAGATCATGATTATGTTGGTAAACACCTCAGTATAGTTGGACATGAGATCTGTATTTCCAGACAACTCTAAGTACAAAGTCTTGTACTACCTAACCAGATCTCCTCACAATGTAATGTAAAATTTAATGGAAGCAGTTCACTTGTTAACATTTTAGTGCTAAAAACATCCAGTAGAAAGCATTCACACCCTGGACTGGTTTGGTTAACACAAAGCACTTGACCACTGCCAGTTTCTGCTTATCAGTTTAAATCCTGCTCCCCCATCCCCTTCAATGCTCATTCTGAGTGGCAAAACCCAAGACAACTAAGAGTCTGGTCCCTACTCTATTAAAGACAGAGGGGGAAAAAAAGATAAACTCAATCAAAACAATCTTTAGTTCCAACCTCTAAAACAGAGCAATAATTACAGCCTGAAGAAGTAAAATGAGGATGCAAAAAAAAAAAATAATATGACTAACTCTTTAGAAACTCTGCATTGAGAGGGCATCAGGCAGTATCATAGTGTTAAATATTTATCAAGTACGTAACTTGGTCAATATTCCTTCCGAGAAAGCTCTAAACATTTGAATCCACCTTTCTGGACTACTGACTTACAAGTTTATCCACCACAATTTAATGTAGAGTAATAGTTGCTAATAATTGGGGGGTGAGGAAGTGGGAGGACTGAGTAAAAGATATTAGTGACTCCTAACGCCCAGGTATCACATCCATATGTTTCCTAGGGAACAACACTCTGGTGGTTCTATCATGGTAATGGAAAGCTGAAAACATTATTCTCCAAACTGAACAGCAGTTTGGTTATGTCAGACTACTCTCATTACTTTTACAGGTCAGGCTAGGAAGAGCTTCTCCTCTCTATCACCAGAGAGAAACAAATTCTTGAAGTTTTTGTTTTTTTCAGAGTTGAGCTTAACTAGGACCAATTCAGTTAGGGCTTTTCATCCAGAGAAGAAGGAAATGGAAATCAAATGCTTCCACAATGAGTTAGGAAACTCATCATGTACTCCCCCGCTCAGAGTCCCAAATAACTTGAAGGGAAGACAGAATAGCAAGTTCTTCTTTATATGAGGAAGCACTATTTCAGGCTTGAAACACTAATAGAAGAGTTTGTACTAGAGAAACAATTCTGTTGAGTATGAGCTGGTGATAGTTTCTAAACAAAACTGACATTTTATGTTACTATTAACAAGGACCATTCGGACCATCATCTGGAACACCAGGGATCTAAGTGTCAATGACTAAGCAGCAAAGACAAACTACGGTCCTGTAAGATCATTAAGGCCTAATATTACCATAACTGGCTACACCTTTCCTAAAAAAGCCTAAAGATCCCCAAGTTGTATTCCCTCTGCTCCCCAAACTGCCTACATTTTCCTTCTTTGAGTTTAGCACTTATTAAACACAAGACCTACCCTACAACATGAAACATCTGTGGCATGTAGGCCCATCTCTGGCAACTACAGCGGGGACATGACTAAAGTTTTCATTCTCAGACTGGCAAAATAAGAAACATCTAGATATAATAGTGGAAGAAAAATAAGGGAAAACTGTTAGAGATACTTAAATACCATTGGGTATTTAAACTACTGCTCACAAGATCTGCTTAGACAGCTTTTAACATAAGAATTCAGCAGAATCCTTTTTTGTAAAATATTCACATAAATATCTACTGCACATACAAATTCTACGTGCATTGTTCCCATGTGACTTAGTCTGAACAAAGAAGTCTTCAGAAGTATTCAGAAGGTGTTTGGCCTTCACTGCTCAACAGGTAACTCTTATTCATACTCTTTTTATTGCCATGTACCTCACAGTACTCTTTATAACTTCAAGGCAAGCCTAAGCCATGCCCTTCTCAGCTGTATTCTTTAATCCCTGTTTACCCTCCCTGTATTCACTACCTCAGTGTATTCCAAACTTTACTCGCTTCCATCAGAGCTTAAATACTGCACCTGGATGGTCCTTAGCTTACTTACAGTTGTGATGGTTCTACAGAATATACCAATCTTAGCTTTTATACTTGCCTTTAAGCTTAGGGACAACACATAGGAAGTTGTGGCTATGCTGTGCTTATTTTTCCCTCTGAAATGGCACAAGAAACAACAAGAGAAATTGATTGTAATATGCTTGCTCTGAAAAAGACAGGAAGCTACCACATGCAGCAGTAGACTAGTGAAAGTCATGTTTTCATCACTTTGAGAGATTATCCATAAACCAGCATGAGCCACTGAGTGCAGGTGTTGGCCAAACTTACTTTTCGTTACTGTATAAATTAATTTACATACTTAATGTAAGTACCTGGAAGAAAAACTTGTCTACCTTCCTTTGGAAAGTTTTTTCGCATAATTTTTCCTTTAGAGGAAAGTATGTATATGGAGAGGGGTGGAGGAGTGGTGGGTTTTTTATTTGTGGCTTTGAGATTTTTTTTTGTTTGGTTTTGGTGTTGTGGTTTGTTTTTTTTCCACCATTCCAGCACAACTGAGTGCGGGCGTTCAGCACCGAACAAGTTCTGGGGGTTTGTGGGGTTTTTCTGGGGGTTTTGTTTGCTTGTTCGTTTGCTTTGTTTCTTTTTTTCACTGCACAAATGAAAAATAGACATGACAAAACAGCAAGGTATTAACATCTTAAAAAAATTTTAAGGCACATTCCAACAAAATAAACTTTTATTGAATGCAGTATTATGCATTCTATTTTGTTTAAGGGAATAGCGTTTCCCCCCAAAGAGATTCCCTTTGAGAATTTCTAAAAGCTGTATTTTGGTTACAGAAATATTTACATGTCAAGAAACACCAAACTTCAGTCTAAATTTTCCTTGATTTATGAAGTGCAACTAAGTCCTTCCAAATGGTGAGAATTTTCAGTAGGCACTAGGATGAAAAACCTGCAAATTGTTTACAATTGCTGGGTACGACGTTACGTTAATTCAAATTTTATACTTACCCATCTAGAGTCTTGTTCTTTAAGAATTTATATAAAAAGTGGCATTTAAGAATAGAGAAATGCAGCTTAAAGAGCAGTTTATCACCATTTAAAAAAAAAATCTTAATGGCAATCTGCATATTTAATACCATTTCCACAGTATCTCAGCTACAGGGGCTTAGTCCAATAATTTAAAACTTCAGATAGGAATGTCTTTTGGTTCTGAATGCATATCATAAGTCATCATGTCCAGTACGTGAAGGCTCAGTTGTTTCGCTCTTTACTTCCTCTCCTGTGGAATTAAGTATCATAATTAGAATATAACTGTATTATTAAATATACCATATAGTTTTTGACATTAGGAATTGCTTAAAAAGAAATCCAAATAAACACATTTATCAAGACCAGACAAGCAATAAAGCCAGATACAAAAGCTATAAGCTTGGAATAGGAGGACGGTACAAGTAATTTTTTAATTTTTTTTTATGCAAACAAAACATTTCAAATAAACTGATATGATATTGTTAGTGGAGGATAAAAGCAGCACAGCTATTTCTACTCTAAGCTTTTACTTTCAGCTATTCACAGTGAACTTTCTCCTTTCCACATGAACTGCTAGAAGAAATTCTGGTATTTGAAAACAAAAAATCAAGTATTGATCAGAATTATTTTCTACAGGGCAAGCTGCTCAGTTCAGATGTTAGAACAGCTTTCAAAAAAAGCAGAGCAATTTTATTATATTGGTAAAAGCATTAATGTAAGAAAAAACCTAAGCCAATTTATCAACTTTTAATTTTACTTTTACTCTCACAAAATGTCAGGCCACATTAAAAATCATAGCAACTGATATCCTGGGTATCTGCACAGGAAAGACACAACTGACTTTAAAGGACTAATAACAGTGAGTACTTGAGAGTATAAGGTCTGAACTGAATGGCCTTGAGTAGCAAAACTACATAGATTTAACAATTTATTATTACAAGATAAAAATGTAGTCTTGTAAAGGACTACCCGTAAACAAGCTAAGAAGTAAAAAGAAAATAAAGGTATGAAATTGAGTGTCTCTTATCTATTCTCCTACGTCCTTTATTACAAAATAATCCTGTCTTTCACTATGGAATTGGTTAAAAAAAAAAAAAAAAAGAAAAAAACAAGGCAAAAGACTGTGGAGATGGAGTAATGAAAGACTAATGAACATAATTCTGTCCATAATGTGTCATACATCCTAGATCAAATTATACTTGAATTTCTTGACTGGAGGTGTAGTCTAAGTCAAGCTTAAAGCTCCCTACTACTGAAAGATGGGGGTCTTCTCCATATTCACCTTCACACCAGCTCTGGCATTTGTGTGATCACAAAATAAAAAAGTCTAGCTCTCTTATCCAGCAAAAAGTATTCTACTTAGTTTTCTGACATGTCAGTGAATTGAAGCAGCTTGCATGTAATGAGATAAATTCTTAAGTGATTAGAATTAACAATAAAGGAGACACGTGAGGAGGAAGAAGACCTCCATTTTACGGTAGCAGTAATTTGCTAGTTCACTTTATGGAAGGAAGCCAGAGACTTAAGTGAATTACTAACACAACTTTGAGTTAAGCAAAAAAATATCAACCCAAGAATAGGATGTTTAAAACACCCCACTACCTTTAAGCAAGAAAACACGCATGCCAGAATGTGGCCTACACCACAAACTACTTGACACAGACCACAGCTGCAGGAAGATGAGAAATTATACAGAAGTGTTTCATAGAATCATAGAATGGTTTGAGTTGGAAGAGACCTTAAGGATCCCCTAGTTCCCTCCCCCTGCCATGGGCAGGGACCCCTCCCACTAGAGCAGGTTGCTCAAAGCCCCATCCAGTCTGGCCTTGAACACTTCCAGGGATGGGGCATCCAGAACTTCCCTGGGCAACCCGCTCCAGCGCCTCACCACTCTCACAGTGCAAAATTTCTTCCTAATATTTAATCTAAATCTCCCCACTTACAGTTTGAAGTCATTGTCCCTCATCCTATCACTACATGCCCTTGTAAAATGTCCCTCCCCAGCCCTCTTGTAGGCACCCTTCAGGTACCATTTACAAGCAACTACACCCTTAGACAGAAATATACCTCCAGGTTGTCAATATAGCATATTTTAAAACAGCCACTTGCCTGTTTTTACAGTTTGAACACATGTTCCGTCCTTATCTTCAAATCCTTCTGAACATACACACTTGTAACTACCTGAAGTATTAACACAGTCTTGATTCTCCCTCACGCAGACCTTTTCAGGAAGGTTACATTCATCTATATCTAGAGACAAGAGAGGGAAAGAAAAAGTCCGCTGCTATTATTTTGTTATAAAACTTATTTGTGCCCAGTCATATAAACAAAATTCTATTCAACTATAAAAAACACTGAGGAGCAGAATGCTGCTGCAACAGATTTGACTTCTGTTAAAATAATCTGTTATGGTTCTTCATGATTTAGATTGGGTTTCAAATTTATTCAGATACTACTGGTTTTTTTATGTTTTGCAAGCCCCTGTGTGGGGAAATGAATTAAGCAATGGCACTCGTCTTAACCTACTGAAGATTTCCCATAATTATTTTCTATTGATACCATCAAAGCACAACTAAAGGAGCCTATAAATACTATGTCATTATGGTTAACAGCTACTTAAGATCATGCATAACTTCTGCTCTTCCCCACAGAGAAATTATAATTTCACCCTTTTTCCTATCATTTCACAAGTTACAATTCACTATAAATTACTATCATTTGAACTGGGACATTAATGGATTAAAAGAAAGACAACAGAATCCCCCATTGTAACAAAATGAATACAGGTGCACTTCTAATGAAGCAGTAGGTAACTGACAAGAGACTCATGTATTTGTTTCCTGAACCCACTATAAAATACCTTTTCCCTTTTGAGGGAGTGTTTCACCTTTAAGCCTTACCAGGGCACATTAAGTCAGTAATATAAAGGAAGTTATAAAGAAAGTCTTTGCTGCTAATATCAGAACGACTGGGTTTGTTTTGATAGGCTTGAAAACAAGCAGACAAACACAAGTGAGCTAACTGGTGTCCTACCATGTACTGCTAAATCCACCAACCTGTACACTTTTCTTCTTCCTTCACATATCCAGACGCGCAGGTCTTACACTTGTCAGAACCTTCCCCTGTGCAACCTACACAGCTGGCATCACATGCTAAGAATAAAACATTTTAAGCATAAAAGTTAATAAATCTGCAATTTAAAGTACCACCCTTAAAGTTAGTCAGCTTACCCACACAACAAATCATAGAATAGTTTGGGGGTTGGAAAGGACCTCAAGGATCATCTAGTTCCAACCTTCCTGCTGTGGGCAGGGTCACCTCCCACTAAACTAGGTTGCTCAAAGCTTCATCCAACCTGGCCTTAAACACCTCTGGGGATGGGCATCCACAACTTCTCTGGGCAACCTGTTCCAGTGTCTCACCACCCTCACAGCAAAAAAAAATTCATCCTAGTATCTAATCTAAATCTCCCCTCTTTCAGTTTAAAACCATTACCCCTCATCCTATCACTACACTTCCTGATAAAGAGTCCCTCCCCATCTCTTCTGTAGGCCCCCTTCAGATACTGGAAGGCTGCTTATAAGGTCTCCCTACAGCCTTCTCTTTTCCAAGCTGAACAATCCCAACTCTCTCAGCCTGTGCTTATATGAGAGGTGCTCCAGCCCCTCAGTCATTTTCATGGCTCTCCCCTGGACTCACTGCAACAGGTCCATGTCCTTCTTATGTTGGGGGACCTAGAGCAGAATGAAGTACTCCATGTGGGGTCTCATGAGAGCAGAGTAGAAATAACCAGATATCTCTTCCTTCCTCATAAGAAAGGTCTAAAGCTTCATCCATCCCATGCCCAGTGAGGACCAGTCCACATTGTATTAAGTTCCTGGTATTACATGTTTTCTAGTATTATCTTCAAGAGTCCTAATCTAATGCTAGAGATAAAGTACAAACAGCAGATTAAAAAGAAACCTTTGCATGAGAAAGATCCATCTGTGTTTAAACAATACTGGTGATCTTTGCAAGGAGAAGAAGCACACTCATCTAAATCTGAAAGATAAAAAGTGACAAGTTACCTAAAAGAAGTCATTATTAAATAGCAAGATCAATACTTAAATGCCATGCTTTGGGAAAAAGAACTTTCTATAAATCCTATTTATAGATAAGATTTAAAAACTCGTCCTTTAGTCTCTCTTGAAGATGTAAAAGCATTTTCAAAGGCTGCCCCTTTTCCCCTTCCAATTTGGGGTTGAGTCCCCAAAACAGGGACTTTCCCCCACTGGGCCGTGCACTGGGAGTGGAAGGCACGCTGCACAGAAGCTATGAACTTAAACTGACTGCAATTAAAGTAATTGTTGCAATGAGTTTAGGATGAGATATGCAACATGTTAGACAAAAAAGTAACATGGTAACTTATATACCGTTATGTTCAGGTTAAACTGACATGATCAAAACTGATCCTCAGAAGATGTTTATTGATGACAGTAACAGATGTATCAGAAATTCAAGATATAAATTAAATGAAGTTTCCAGAATACCTTCCATCCTTGTCATTTTCAAGCCAGTGTTTTGCATGTGTTTATGCTTTCTATGTAAATAGCTTAACAAATAAGCACAAAGACTGTTCTTCCAGAATACTGTTGACTTCTCTACTCCTATATTACCAACCTATGTAACTCTTCAAAGTATTAAAAAAAGAATTACACAAATGCACACACATACATTGCTTAGTTTTCTACACAAAGCAAACTGGAGAAAGCCAAGTTATGGTTAGGACCAGTCAAGCTGAAAACCAGTTCTACCTGGGAAGTTAAAACATGCTAGCCTTGTGAATTCAAGGAAAGGACATGACAGTACTCATAATTAAAAAACATTTGCACAGAGAAAGGCTATTTCAGTCCCTTTAGAATCATAGAATGGTTGGAGTTGGAAGGGACCTTAAAGATCATCGAGTTCCAACCCGCCCACTAGACCAGGTTGCTCAAAGCCCCATCCAACCTGGTCTTGCTATCTATCTCATCCTGCTGCTGCAGACATCATTCCTACTGATTACTTAATTTATACTTGATTGGTTGCATTGATTATTTGGGAAAAAGACAGCTGTACAGAAGACAATACTGGAGTATCTTAAAAATCCTCCTGAAGTGCTTAACAGCTGTCTAAGCAGGTATGGCAGTACCTGCAACTCAAATCTTAGTTGTCCTTAGCACTTTTGAAAAGTAGCAGTGTTCACATAACTTCTAAGATATTATTTCCAAGCATTATGTTAAGGGTCTTTAACAGGTCAAATATAACCAGTTAAACAGAATGCGTTATTCTCCTCCTAGCGCAGTCCTGCATGTGAGAGTATTTTTAGTATTTGGGTTTTTCCTTAAGTGTTCCATCCATATCTCCTCATACACCAGTAGAAATGCTAAGCTAGAAATAGCTAAAAGATTAACAGAAGTACTGAGCTTGATGCCTCCTGGTATTTCTCCCCAGTACCAGGAAACCTTAGTACAGCTGGCTTTACATGAAATGTTCGAATTCTAATAGGGCTGAGCATTTATGAACATTCAGTAATGTGAAGACAATTGTGTAAACCACTACAAAATATGTAGATAAGCTGACAGGAATCTTCCAGTAGTTTATAAAATAGTTTAAATCAACAGCAGGACACTGCTTAGCATTCAAATAAACACAAGAACTGTGTCTTAAAAGGAACACCCCACTCGCTGCTACCTGTATTCCACTAAACTAGGAGACACATAGTGAAGAGTCTGATAGAGACAAGTATAATCATCAGGGGATCAGTGGGGATGAAATACTGCTTTCTTGCAATGTGAAACAAGTTAGGAAGAGAGAGACTACAAACTACAGAAATCTAAACTGACAGAACACTTCCATAAAATACACTTCCATAAAACTCAATGTGATATCATCTAGTCTCATTAGCCAATGTTGCTGCAAAACCTGTTGGAAGTCTACCTAGCATTACTTACCCACACAGGCTGATTCTTCATTTTTAATCCATCCTTCTTTACAGTCTCGGCAGTCCTTGTTACTTGAACCAGTACAAGTTTTACAAGCAGCGTGGCAGGCTGAGATAAGAGAAAACTACAATCTGAGCTTTGTTGGGAGATTCCAAGACAAGTTTGGGCACACAAATTCTCAAAGAAAACCTTACTTAGGATTCACTGGAAGCTATCATATTTTAGTAGCTTGGCCCTGCCATTCACAAGATTAAATCTTGATTTTATGGAGATACCATTTACCAAAAAAAAAGCAGCTCTATCCTACAAAAAAAAAAAGTGGAGATGGAGTAATGAAAGACTAATGAACATAATTCTGTCCATAATGTGTCATACATCCTAGATCAAATTATACTTGAATTTCTTGACTGGAGGTGTAGTCTAAGTCAAGCTTAAAGCTCCCTACTACTGAAAGATGGGGGTCTTCTCCATATTCACCTTCACACCAGCTCTGGCATTTGTGTGATCACAAAATAAAAAAGTCTAGCTCTCTTATCCAGCAAAAAGTATTCTACTTAGTTTTCTGACATGTCAGTGAATTGAAGCAGCTTGCATGTAATGAGATAAATTCTTAAGTGATTAGAATTAACAATAAAGGAGACACGTGAGGAGGAAGAAGACCTCCATTTTACGGTAGCAGTAATTTGCTAGTTCACTTTATGGAAGGAAGCCAGAGACTTAAGTGAATTACTAACACAACTTTGAGTTAAGCAAAAAAATATCAACCCAAGAATAGGATGTTTAAAACACCCCACTACCTTTAAGCAAGAAAACACGCATGCCAGAATGTGGCCTACACCACAAACTACTTGACACAGACCACAGCTGCAGGAAGATGAGAAATTATACAGAAGTGTTTCATAGAATCATAGAATGGTTTGAGTTGGAAGAGACCTTAAGGATCACCTAGTTCCCACCCCCTGCCATGGGCAGGGACACCTCCCACTAGAGCAGGTTGCTCAAAGCCCCATCCAGTCTGGCCTTGAACACTTCCAGGGATGGGGCATCCAGAACTTCCCTGGGCAACCCGCTCCAGCGCCTCACCACTCTCACAGTGCAAAATTTCTTCCTAATATTTAATCTAAATCTCCCCACTTACAGTTTGAAGTCATTGTCCCTCATCCTATCACTACATGCCCTTGTAAAATGTCCCTCCCCAGCCCTCTTGTAGGCACCCTTCAGGTACCATTTACAAGCAACTACACCCTTAGACAGAAATATACCTCCAGGTTGTCAATATAGCATATTTTAAAACAGCCACTTGCCTGTTTTTACAGTTTGAACACATGTTCCGTCCTTATCTTCAAATCCTTCTGAACATACACACTTGTAACTACCTGAAGTATTAACACAGTCTTGATTCTCCCTCACGCAGACCTTTTCAGGAAGGTTACATTCATCTATATCTAGAGACAAGAGAGGGAAAGAAAAAGTCCGCTGCTATTATTTTGTTATAAAACTTATTTGTGCCCAGTCATATAAACAAAATTCTATTCAACTATAAAAAACACTGAGGAGCAGAATGCTGCTGCAACAGATTTGACTTCTGTTAAAATAATCTGTTATGGTTCTTCATGATTTAGATTGGGTTTCAAATTTATTCAGATACTACTGGTTTTTTTATGTTTTGCAAGCCCCTGTGTGGGGAAATGAATTAAGCAATGGCACTCGTCTTAACCTACTGAAGATTTCCCATAATTATTTTCTATTGATACCATCAAAGCACAACTAAAGGAGCCTATAAATACTATGTCATTATGGTTAACAGCTACTTAAGATCATGCATAACTTCTGCTCTTCCCCACAGAGAAATTATAATTTCACCCTTTTTCCTATCATTTCACAAGTTACAATTCACTATAAATTACTATCATTTGAACTGGGACATTAATGGATTAAAAGAAAGACAACAGAATCCCCCATTGTAACAAAATGAATACAGGTGCACTTCTAATGAAGCAGTAGGTAACTGACAAGAGACTCATGTATTTGTTTCCTGAACCCACTATAAAATACCTTTTCCCTTTTGAGGGAGTGTTTCACCTTTAAGCCTTACCAGGGCACATTAAGTCAGTAATATAAAGGAAGTTATAAAGAAAGTCTTTGCTGCTAATATCAGAACGACTGGGTTTGTTTTGATAGGCTTGAAAACAAGCAGACAAACACAAGTGAGCTAACTGGTGTCCTACCATGTACTGCTAAATCCACCAACCTGTACACTTTTCTTCTTCCTTCACATATCCAGACGCGCAGGTCTTACACTTGTCAGAACCTTCCCCTGTGCAACCTACACAGCTGGCATCACATGCTAAGAATAAAACATTTTAAGCATAAAAGTTAATAAATCTGCAATTTAAAGTACCACCCTTAAAGTTAGTCAGCTTACCCACACAACAAATCATAGAATAGTTTGGGGGTTGGAAAGGACCTCAAGGATCATCTAGTTCCAACCTTCCTGCTGTGGGCAGGGTCACCTCCCACTAAACTAGGTTGCTCAAAGCTTCATCCAACCTGGCCTTAAACACCTCTGGGGATGGGCATCCACAACTTCTCTGGGCAACCTGTTCCAGTGTCTCACCACCCTCACAGCAAAAAAAAATTCATCCTAGTATCTAATCTAAATCTCCCCTCTTTCAGTTTAAAACCATTACCCCTCATCCTATCACTACACTTCCTGATAAAGAGTCCCTCCCCATCTCTTCTGTAGGCCCCCTTCAGATACTGGAAGGCTGCTTATAAGGTCTCCCTACAGCCTTCTCTTTTCCAAGCTGAACAATCCCAACTCTCTCAGCCTGTGCTTATATGAGAGGTGCTCCAGCCCCTCAGTCATTTTCATGGCTCTCCCCTGGACTCACTGCAACAGGTCCATGTCCTTCTTATGTTGGGGGACCTAGAGCAGAATGAAGTACTCCATGTGGGGTCTCATGAGAGCAGAGTAGAAATAACCAGATATCTCTTCCTTCCTCATAAGAAAGGTCTAAAGCTTCATCCATCCCATGCCCAGTGAGGACCAGTCCACATTGTATTAAGTTCCTGGTATTACATGTTTTCTAGTATTATCTTCAAGAGTCCTAATCTAATGCTAGAGATAAAGTACAAACAGCAGATTAAAAAGAAACCTTTGCATGAGAAAGATCCATCTGTGTTTAAACAATACTGGTGATCTTTGCAAGGAGAAGAAGCACACTCATCTAAATCTGAAAGATAAAAAGTGACAAGTTACCTAAAAGAAGTCATTATTAAATAGCAAGATCAATACTTAAATGCCATGCTTTGGGAAAAAGAACTTTCTATAAATCCTATTTATAGATAAGATTTAAAAACTCGTCCTTTAGTCTCTCTTGAAGATGTAAAAGCATTTTCAAAGGCTGCCCCTTTTCCCCTCCCAATTTGGGGTTGAGTCCCCAAAACAGGGACTTTCCCCCACTGGGCCGTGCACTGGGAGTGGAAGGCACGCTGCACAGAAGCTATGAACTTAAACTGACTGCAATTAAAGTAATTGTTGCAATGAGTTTAGGATGAGATATGCAACATGTTAGACAAAAAAGTAACATGGTAACTTATATACCGTTATGTTCAGGTTAAACTGACATGATCAAAACTGATCCTCAGAAGATGTTTATTGATGACAGTAACAGATGTATCAGAAATTCAAGATATAAATTAAATGAAGTTTCCAGAATACCTTCCATCCTTGTCATTTTCAAGCCAGTGTTTTGCATGTGTTTATGCTTTCTATGTAAATAGCTTAACAAATAAGCACAAAGACTGTTCTTCCAGAATACTGTTGACTTCTCTACTCCTATATTACCAACCTATGTAACTCTTCAAAGTATTAAAAAAAGAATTACACAAATGCACACACATACATTGCTTAGTTTTCTACACAAAGCAAACTGGAGAAAGCCAAGTTATGGTTAGGACCAGTCAAGCTGAAAACCAGTTCTACCTGGGAAGTTAAAACATGCTAGCCTTGTGAATTCAAGGAAAGGACATGACAGTACTCATAATTAAAAAACATTTGCACAGAGAAAGGCTATTTCAGTCCCTTTAGAATCATAGAATGGTTGGAGTTGGAAGGGACCTTAAAGATCATCGAGTTCCAACCCGCCCACTAGACCAGGTTGCTCAAAGCCCCATCCAACCTGGTCTTGCTATCTATCTCATCCTGCTGCTGCAGACATCATTCCTACTGATTACTTAATTTATACTTGATTGGTTGCATTGATTATTTGGGAAAAAGACAGCTGTACAGAAGACAATACTGGAGTATCTTAAAAATCCTCCTGAAGTGCTTAACAGCTGTCTAAGCAGGTATGGCAGTACCTGCAACTCAAATCTTAGTTGTCCTTAGCACTTTTGAAAAGTAGCAGTGTTCACATAACTTCTAAGATATTATTTCCAAGCATTATGTTAAGGGTCTTTAACAGGTCAAATATAACCAGTTAAACAGAATGCGTTATTCTCCTCCTAGCGCAGTCCTGCATGTGAGAGTATTTTTAGTATTTGGGTTTTTCCTTAAGTGTTCCATCCATATCTCCTCATACACCAGTAGAAATGCTAAGCTAGAAATAGCTAAAAGATTAACAGAAGTACTGAGCTTGATGCCTCCTGGTATTTCTCCCCAGTACCAGGAAACCTTAGTACAGCTGGCTTTACATGAAATGTTCGAATTCTAATAGGGCTGAGCATTTATGAACATTCAGTAATGTGAAGACAATTGTGTAAACCACTACAAAATATGTAGATAAGCTGACAGGAATCTTCCAGTAGTTTATAAAATAGTTTAAATCAACAGCAGGACACTGCTTAGCATTCAAATAAACACAAGAACTGTGTCTTAAAAGGAACACCCCACTCGCTGCTACCTGTATTCCACTAAACTAGGAGACACATAGTGAAGAGTCTGATAGAGACAAGTATAATCATCAGGGGATCAGTGGGGATGAAATACTGCTTTCTTGCAATGTGAAACAAGTTAGGAAGAGAGAGACTACAAACTACAGAAATCTAAACTGACAGAACACTTCCATAAAATACACTTCCATAAAACTCAATGTGATATCATCTAGTCTCATTAGCCAATGTTGCTGCAAAACCTGTTGGAAGTCTACCTAGCATTACTTACCCACACAGGCTGATTCTTCATTTTTAATCCATCCTTCTTTACAGTCTCGGCAGTCCTTGTTACTTGAACCAGTACAAGTTTTACAAGCAGCGTGGCAGGCTGAGATAAGAGAAAACTACAATCTGAGCTTTGTTGGGAGATTCCAAGACAAGTTTGGGCACACAAATTCTCAAAGAAAACCTTACTTAGGATTCACTGGAAGCTATCATATTTTAGTAGCTTGGCCCTGCCATTCACAAGATTAAATCTTGATTTTATGGAGATACCATTTACCAAAAAAAAGCAGCTCTATCCTACAAAAAAAAAAACCAAACAAAACCAAAACCAACCCCCTCAAAAAAAACACAACAAAAAACCTCACACACCAAAACCCCAGAAAGCCAAACCTGGCAACTCCAGTCATCTACACCACTTAAAACAGTGTCATGAAATTCTAGTGACTAGAAGTCACAGGTCCAAATTTTGAAATATTTGGAAAGAAGCGATGAAGAAAGTAAACTTTGCTGAGCTGCTCAGGGTTGGGACAGCACAGACTCAGCACTCCCACCTAAGGAAACCTTAGAGTACTTAATTTGCAATTAGCTTTGAGAGCAATGTGTGAAGTGGTACTCATCTGAAGAACTTCACAAAGAAACATACAAGAAGTGCAGTTGTATATGTATAATATATATACTTTATATATATTACATGCATATACAACATGCAATATATAACACATGCATGCTATATATTGTAAAATAAAACAATCATACAGAAGATTTACTACTCAGCCAGATAAAAAAAGCAACAGTGTTTAAAATCAATCTTTGACCCCATGCTCAGGATTTGGTTGCTGCAGAATCTCATTCAAGATGTAAACCAGAAGAAAATCTGACCAACTGAAAAAGTTTATTCCTACAACCTGACTTTGTTTCCAAGTTTAGCTTAGACATACTTAACTGGAACCTAGATAGTCGACAATACAGATCAGCTGTTTCCATGCCCATTTACTCCAGCTAGAGCTTAAATGAGACATGAGGAAAACCTTGCTTCCAAAGTAGTCCACTATGCAGCAACTACAGCTTAAGATTTTTGTACAATACTTGGGGGGAGGAGATGAGGACCCAAAGCTTGCTCTTCCCCCTCACCTCCCTCATGACAAAGTTGAATTCTGCCTCTTAACTTAAAGCAGAAAAATTAAAAAAAAAAAAAAAAAAAAAAAAAAAAGTCAAGGGGCACCTGGAAGAATGGCTTAGCAAATCCTTAGAATTCCACCAAACTGATGTGGTTAAAGCCCAGTGACCAAATTTTAACTACTTTGATTTCTACATTTGTCAGTTTAAATTGTTTCTAGTTTTGTTTACAAAAACTGAAGAAGGGAGACAAAGATCTAAGCGTGTGTCAAAGACTTCATTACCTGTACAAACAGAATGGGTCTCATTCCTCAAGGTACTGAAGTAACCATTAGAACAGTCCAAACAAAACTCTCCCGTATACTCCTTGTTGCAGCTACATGAGCCATCTCCACCTCGGGTACCATCACCATCACAGTGACCGTTTCCATGGCAAGGTCTTTCTGATCCACCACGACAAGCTAAAAAGGATCAAACACACAAACCAGATGCTAAAGGAAGTAAATCCCTATTCTCAGCCACAGGCACCTGAAGTCTCTCCCTCCCTCTTCATAGACAGTAAAACTTCAAAAAAAAAAATAGTCACACTAAACCAGGATATAATTTCCAGAATATTTTTTTGCCTTGAGAACAACCAAAAAGTTTGCAACAAGGAATACTCAGTAACATAGTCAAGTACAAGAGGAACTCAAAACAATCTCCAGGAATGTTCAGTTAAAAATTTAATTTTGGGTAAGGACCATGGCTTAGAATTTTATCTATTTTCCTACCTTCCTGGCTAAAGTTGGTATCTGGATTTAATCTGGATTTTCAAAGAATGTTCATACTGCCGCTGGAAAAACTTAATAGCAATCATTTAGATCAATACTGGGAATTGGCACTTCATTTTTAACAATATAAGAGGCCAAAGTTGATCTCTAACAAGGTGCAAGGTTTTAGAAGTTTATCAATTACATAAACTTCAGGGGCAAAACCACCTCCTTTATCACTTTTGCATCAAAGATCTTACTTTCATCCAATTTCTCCCATTGCCTTTTAACAAATCCTCAGCTGTGAATTTCTTTGTTTAATCCCCAACACTGTTTTGGCTGTTTTACTCATGAAACTAGTCAAGGACTGTTGTTTACATAGCTTCTGAAAGGCCACCTAAACAATAGACTTGATGTCACAGATAGCCTTTAAGCATGGGTCAGGTGTGGATGTGAGCATGAGATCAGATGGATTCTGCACACGTAAGTACCCTTGATAGCTCTGTACGTTATTTCATGCCCAGAAGACTTTTCTTTGGGCAGGACGCTCACAAGGCAGCTGCCTAACCATCAGGCAGCAGGCAAGTACATACTACTCAACAGCTGCTCAAAATATCCTACTTTATGTATTTGTCCATGTTATGAAAGACTGAAACAAACAGGTAAGAAGAACTTATCTGCTACTGTATTTTTCAAATGAAAAATTACCAAGGCAATCTGGTCCGTAAGTTCCAGCAGGGCAGCAAACTTCTATTGTTTCTATGCAAAACCATTTAAACAAATCAGGATACTTCTTCTTTCTGTAGAAATAGTATAAATAGAATGATATAAATATAACATAAAAAGAATGAAGATTATTCAAAAGTCAACATACACAACTGCGCAACACAGTAGAGAAATCTATTGCATGTGACACATTAAAACTTTTTTTTTTCCTGTTCTGAAGACAACCTTATTTCAGGAACCAATTTCTAGAAGTCCTCCAACTTGAGATTAATTCACCTTTAAACTACAATACATTAACAGACTCCACTCAAATTTTATAGATTATATTTATGAAAAATGTTTAATACACCCTTTCCCCCCCCCCCCCCTTTTTTTTTTAACCACCTTCATTTTAGAGAAGGCTTATATATAGTTTAGACGGTCTTACTTAAGTCTTCCTCTTAAAGATAACGTCCGTGTTTATCTCAACTGTGTAGAAGATAACCCAGGACAGATATTAACGTTTGCTCAAATTCTTGCCAACCTGACTTCACGATAGGGTGCTGGGCAAAATGTCTCCTCTTTTTTAGCATGAATCAAGTACTATTTAAAAAGGATTTTTTTTTAACATACATTAAGGTAGGTTTGTGCTACTCTAGCATTAGAATATACCTCTCATTAACAATGAAATCCTAGGTATTATTTTGAAAGCAAGCATGAGGACTACTACGGTTCTGAATGACAATTCACAGATCTCAATACCACGCCGACATTGAAATCTCAAAAACTTTAATAAAGGAAAGGTTTAGAAATTCTGTAGTCTGGCAGAAGTCTTCAGCAACTACTGAGGCATGTACAGCTTCTCTTTCTAAACTATTACATCTGACCTTATTGACTCCAAGGCTCAGGCCCTGAAAAGTAAATTTACCGAGTACTGCATGTAATGTAACAATAAGTGAAAAAAGATCCAAGGCAGCCACAGACAAAGAAACTGTCTTTGGAAACTGCCACAGAAACTGAATGACATTTTGATATTGCAGGTTAAAAGACAGGAGGCAAAAGTTAATCAATTGCACTAATCAATTGTTCTAATTCTCTAGTTTAAGATCCATTTCTTTCAGTTCTGCCAATTTAAGACAGCTTCAGAGAATGAGGTAGTTTATTCTGGGTTGCACAGCTCACCTTTCCTTCAATTGGCATGTTAATGTATACATAATCCTGTATAGATAGGTAAACTATTGCTAAAGCAATAAAGCAGTCATTAAGAGCCAACTGATTATCAAAAATACTTATCCAGTGATGAAGTGGTAATAATGATAGTTCACTCTATTGAATTCTAGCTCATTAGCAGTGCTGATGATCTAAAGAAGTAAAAAATACTTAGAAGAAACATGATTTGGAATTTAAAAAGGATCTTAAGATATTTAAATGCTACAATGCCATCCTTGTATAATTATATTCTACAGTGGTATATGAAAACCATAGTTATAACAGAAATCCCAGGCTAGCTCAGCAGGCAGGTAGAAAAGTCAGCTGCTATACTACCACCCTCAAGAGATCCAACTTCTAAATTTATTAGTATCAACTATTTCTTGATTGACAGGAGGACAAAATAATGTTTCAGGAAAAACAAACAAAAAACCCACAAGAACCAAAGAGTCCCTTGCCAAAGAGTCTTACTACAAAAGAAAACAAAAGAGTAACAAACCCCAAAGCTTATTATAGAGGCAAATATTAGTTTGCCTCAACAGCCCTCTGGTAACTGAGTAGACAGCATATGAGAAGCCAGACTGAATGTTTTGGTGCAACACTTTTGGAATCAAAAATAAAAAAGATCACTGTACATTGGCACATGCTACCAAGAGTCAGCCTGAAGCCAGCTGTACCCAATAGCAACTCTTGAAGGATAATGAAGAATTGTTCAGGCACAATATTTAACATTCTCTTAGATAACTTATCCACACAAAGATCTCCACAAAAAAATTTCATACTTACAGTTTGAACCACCATTTCTCTATTTGTTCTTCATGCTCTTCTACCATGTTGTTACACTCAAAGTTACTACTGTCACACAGGTTCTCTATGATCTCCACAAGACGAATTTCACTACAAGCACAGAAGTCAGAAGTCTAATTTAAACATTTGACACCACTCAAGATATGACAGAGAAGCTAGACTTCAGCCTAGAATACTTTATCAGTTTATGATGCATTCTGAATTAGTTCCAAAACAAAGCAAATATCAAAATAAAGAATTAATGAACAATACTTCAACCAAAAAAAATTAGGATGATAACAAGAACCACTTTGGCTTGTTTGAAATTATTGTGTTTGCAGATTGTAGGAGATTTGATACATTTTTAGCTTCCCAGCAAATTTGTAGTGCAATATTTTTCTCTTATGTTGAACTATAAATTTCAGGTATTACTACTATCTGATACAAGCCCATGAAGTTCACAGTAACTGAGGCTCAGAAATCCCATCCTTACATCTCAATGCTCCAACTAAGATTAAAAAGTGAATTTGAAATTTGGAAGAAAGACATAATATCACTTTTATCAGTAATCATACATACATATAAAAGAGTACAGTAATCAGCACTTCTATTTTTCTGTTTGGCACTGAAATAGTGATGACTTTAGGGAGGAGATCCTGCTTTAACTGTAAAACAAGTACTGCAGTACTCCACACCTTTTACAACAATCAATTAACTACTGAGCATTATTTTAAATCATTATTTTGGGACAGTAATGGGTAAATAGAAAAAACTTCTGTGACCAATAAAAGTATTAACTTTTGTTGTTTTCAGAAACAAGACAAATAAAGGCAAATAAAGACAAATTGATAAGGGGTTTCAGTCTTTACTGCAACCTGTACCTTACAGTGTAATCTGCCACATTTTAATCAATAAGAATTTAAGGCTTGGGCATGTGAAACTTTAGCTGCAACATTCAATATTTAAGTTCCAGACAAACACTGGCACAGTGAAGTTAACACACACTGGACATGAAATGTAGCCGAACAAGAAGTACTGAGACAGCTTACCTGGACTCATACTTGGACAACGTCTTCTCTTCCCAAGCAGTGTTCCCACCACCAAAGTTCTTTTTAGCTGTATCTGCCAATCCCTGCAAATGAAAAGTACCGAAAGAATTTAAGTTACAAAGGTTTTGTTTATAGCAAAAATGAAGGGCAATATTGAATGCTTATATGAAAATTGTGAGAAGTGCCATGCAGAAACTTCAGTAAAGCTTCTAAACAAATTGTTAAGTGAAGGAAACTGCTGCTCATAACATGAGAGGTGAGAATACGTAGGTGATAGCATAACATAGAATCTTGGTTTATGCCAAAAAATACACATGTATGAGACTTTATACCCTTCTCCTTTAAAGTTCTCAAGAACTTTATTAACCAGTTGATCAGGACCTCTACTTCATCCAGTTTTGACAGTACTTAGCCCAGTCTTCACCACGCTGTAACTTAAACCATATAACAGGATAATTCACCGTGCTCAGCACAACTTCCCCGAGCTGCACCGCTCAAACCACACCTCGCACCACATCTCCACACACCGACCGAGCCTGCGCCAGCGAGGACACGAACAGGCAGCGCTAAGCACCTGCCACAAGCTGGAGCAGCCCCCCATGCACTGTGCCACAGCCTAGGCCTGTTACAAGGGGCAACAGACACAGAATTTTAGGGGAAGATGCTCTCCATTAGCTCTCCTCACGGAGTGCTACAGCCAGCACTGCACAGCCGGCCTTTTCACACTAACGCACTGAAACACCTGTGACAGCAACCCTCGAGGAGCTCCGAGACCTGCCGCTCCAAGGGCTACGGGCTGTCACCGAGGGCCAGCAGCAAAGCGGCTTGACCGGCCGCGGACCCTCACGGCGGACCGGCGGGAGCGCTCCCCAGTTCGGCCGAGGAGGCGGAGAGCCGCCCAGCCGCGGGCCCGCCACCCCTCCGCACCGACCAGCGGCCCCGCAGCCCGGGGGCTGCCCCCCTCGGAGCGGCGGGCGGGGAGCGGC